CCCTGAATGTCCTGCACTTAAATAACTGGTTATCATTTCCACCCACAATCACAAGATGCTGGGAGATTAAACTGACTGAGATCTCGTGTTGCTGCATGTAAGGGAGAGCTGGTTTCGAGAGGGACCGAGTAGTTCGGAGACTGTGTTGTTATGGCTGAGTCAGAAACAGCAACGCGTTGGGATCATAAGGCTGTGAGTTCACATTTAAAGGAATGTACCGTGTTGTAAATGATGCGCTGAGTGAATTGTTACGTGTGTACCTACATATGGTGTTTAATCAGATACTGTGCTTGCCATGAGGGTCTTACAATTTCATTTCAGTGCTTATTCCCACATAGTTAGACACGGAGCTGACCTGTTACTTCCTGGAGAATGATGGAATACATAATATATGAAAACTAAAAGGAATGTAAAGCTGTTTATTTGCACACATGAGCTGAAGAATAAATATGCAGTAGTAAAGCTGTCAATGTATTTTGACAGTGAGTCACCTTTGTCTCACACAAGCAACTCCAAATTGACAGAATTGTCTCTTTTTTGTTACCTTTACTTATAATTTTACTCTTTTTCAAATGTGCCCTTTAGTATTTTATGGTCTAGTTTTCTAAACATGTATTCCTGAAATATCGATGCTGTAGTTGCTCTCGCTCTGGAGACCAGTGTTGTGTGAAAGGTAAAGCGCTTCAACGTGTGAGACGACATTGTTCGCTGTATTTTTGGGTGCAAAAGTATTGATGGTTCACAAAAAGATTTCGAGACACCCGATTTGTTTATTTTGTCGCTGCATATCATCACTGCATGTTATAGTTTCTGTATGCTGACATTGACGAGTGTTTTGTCATGAATGCTGGGTTTTTATTGGGGTTATTTGGAGATTGTCTTGTGAATTACACCAAATGCCCCGTAGATTTCAAATATATTTTTTATTTTGCTTAAGTTACAGCATTTCGATAAGTTGTCATTCTACCACATTGAACATTCTTTTGATGTCGGATCAAATGTATTTAAAGTGTCTTTATAAATTGACTTTTCTTTAGTTGTAAATAAAATATTGACCGTTTGGCCTTTTTTTTTTTTTTTAAATGTCTGGAAACACCTCGAGTGAAGATCAAGACTCCAAAGTCCAAAAATAGATTTATTTTTTGTGTCTTTAAAATATATTGATCAGATGTCAATAAGTTCACTACGTAAAACATGATCTGGGAACATTTTATAATTTAATCTTTTCAACACTTAATGGTATAAAGAAAATATATCAATTTCAGTGCGCTCTCATACAAAAATATACAATCCAATCAGTCATTTCTTAGTGATTATCCGTCTTTCATCCATGCGAACAATGTTATTTATTTATTTTACCAACAAACCTTTCAAGTAAATCCTCAGTCCTCACTACAGCAACATTTACGGTAACCAAAGTCCCCCCCCCCTGCTGCACAAATGACCCTCACTCTGACCGGTAATGATGCATTCCTTTATATAGTAGGGTGAATATATAGGGTGAATGTCTAACTTACAGGCTGGAGGTTGACTGGAGGTTGACTAGATTTATGTGGATAATCTGCCAATATTTAAGTATTTTATGAACCATTGAAGGGTTATCTTGACGCAACATTTAACACTTGTATAATCCTCAATACAATATAATCCTCAAAAGACAACGAATAGAAAAAAAACTAAACGTACACCAGTTAACTCAAGTTACACGAGCAGCGGGAAAAGATGCAGAGTGCCATTCAAATACTACTCAGCTACTAATTGCTTAAAAATAGATAGCAAAAAAAAAAAAACTTTGATTGCAAGCTAACTTAGAAAAGTAATTATACACCCACAAAAAGAATCAAGTCTGTGTGACAAAGACACTGACCAGCAGCTACATCCATGCCTCTACTTAAGCAGCTTTAAAGAGACTTATTGCATTTTTGGCCACTTTTATTTTCTCAAATTCTCCTGTGATTTTCTACAGCTGGCAACAATAAAAATGCTTTTTGACTACTTGCATTGCTACAGTTCAACACCTAAAAAATACAATGACTAAAAATAAATCTGACTCGGTCCAGTAGTACGTTTAGCCACGACTGGCGTGACGGCGATGGCGACGACCAACAACTTTATCTCCTACAGCGGATGAAAAGAGACGCTGTTACTTGTTTGAAACACTGGACGTTTTTTATGTGATTTAACAACATTTGACGTAAGTTACCTGCATCCCTCTTCTGCACTCTGTGTGGAATCTGGACAGTGTAGGACCCTGGTACTCCCGGTATACCTGGGCGACCAGGATCACCTGCAAGCATAGGGAAATCTCAGACTTTTCTCAATCACTTCACTGAAAAACACTACTCTGGAAAATACGCTGAGTTTCATTGGCTCTGTTTGAATATACCCTTTCCTCCTGCGGGTCCTGGGTACCCCTGGTCACCCTTTGGTCCAGGGCCTCCTGGGGGGCCGGGAATGGTGCCATACGCTGCGCGAGAGCAGAAGCACAGATTCAGTTGAGATGAAGCAACATTTTCCAACTCCACTCACACGAGTCTGGTTTTCTATTGCTGTGAGGTTGAACTCTAAACGCTTGTGTCCTCACCTCTGAAGAACTCCATGAGGTCAGCTGTGACGTTGCCATAGGCTCCGATGACGCGGCTCTGACCAGAAGGTCCGACAGGGCCCGGTGGACCAGGGGGGCCTTGAATCGCTCTCACACTCGCCATCCAGGGACCCTGAACCAGATACTCCTGCAGCAGGCCTTGACCTAGAGGAGGGCAGATATATCAAAGCACTGAAGTGACACTCATCATCATCATAGAGGAGGAAGACGTACTCTGATCCTTCACGTAAGTCAGAAGTCTGACACTCGGGGCAAATTCAGACTAAATTGAGAGCTTTGGGCAACAATTTCAGCTCCGTTTTTAGCTGATATTTGTTAAATTTGGTTATATTAGCACCATTCAAAGTATGCCAAATTAGCTATGAGCAGTTCCTCCTGTTTGCACTCAACCCAAAGATGTACAGATCAATATCACTGGGTTTCTCTGATACTAAATAACACTTAAAAAATGTAACTCAGTAGCAAGTGTTTTTAAGTATTTATGGACGTTTATTGGTGACATCTGAGATACTGATATCCTCAGAAAGGGCATCATCCCCAAAGCATTATGGGAACTGTGGTTGGAGCATATTTAGAGTAGTTAGAATACAGTAGAGCATATCAACTAGATCTTAGTAAAGTAAGACAAATTCAAGTTACAGAAGTACAAGCCTTGCACTATAAATGAAGGGTGATGGGGGTGTTTAGGTTCGACTCACTCTTGATGTAGTCTGAAACTTTTATGGCGACGCTGGAGTAATCCAGTGTCTGACTGAGTTTGCTGGTGTCGGTCTCTCTGCGCTCAGAGCCGTATCGAGAGTCACCCTGACTGTAGCTCTGGCTCTGCCCGTAGCTCTGGATGTGACCCGGCTCTCCACGATCTCCCTTCTGACCCATCGGTCCTGGAGGCCCCGGAGGGCCACTGATGGCACGACGAACACCGTCACCTGAAAGATAAGAGTTCATTGGTGATATCCGCACTCATCTGTGCTCACATGTCTTTAGTCTGTTTGTGTGGGACGTTAGGAGCTTACTGGACAGATACTGTTGAATTTCAGTGCGGATAGTCTCCCGAGGGAAGTTTCCATTGTAGGAAATTGATCCACTGTAACTGCCTGGTGGACCCTGTAGTCCCTGAGGACCTTGAGGACCAGGAGGGCCGGGAACACCTCTGAAACCAGAACCTGAGAAAGATTCAAGTCGACGTTATTGTCAGTCTAATACGTACAAGTGCACAGGAAGATGAGGAAACCTCTTTGATTGTAGACGACAAAATCAGGAGTGGACAACAAAAAAACGTCACGCAACCACAAAAAATGAAATGCAGGGCTGTTGTACTGTATTACATTAAAGAGGAACTTCTGCTGTCCTCCAGTGGTTTACCTCCTCACGCTTGCTGCAGTGATGTCGAGGTGAACTCCAGGGTGTGTCAGTACACCGTGACATCACTGTTGGGTGAGGTTAAAGGTGCAACAGAGCACACTTCTTGTATGATTATATTTAAAAATTGATATTCAACATTTGTACCCGCAGAGGTTAAGATGAATGAGTGTAGATTGTTTGTAATATTATATTCTTTATTTGTGATTGTTGATGTTTCTCTTGGAATTTCCATAACTAAGAGCATTGATATTTAGAGAACAGTATTTTTTAAAGAGGAGGACGAATGTAATGTTTTGTATATATGGTATCTATTGTGATATATTGGTAGCAATGAATTGTATATAGGGACAGCGGACATAGTCTAAAGCAAAGGTTTTTATTGTTGTACGATTTAACTTTAGCATTAAATGACCTTGCTATGTGACTCTAAGCCTCAAGATTTCAGCCTGACTTTATACAAGACATGAAGTTCATTCACTGGGTCAGACTCACCCTGCAGGTAACGCTGAATATCCTCCATACTGTAGCCACGACCTCCCGACGTATACACACTGGCAGTGGAGACTCCTGACGGCCCCTGAGGACCAGGAGGGCCAGGTAGCCCCGGGACACCGGCGGGACCGGGAGGACCGCCTTGTACAGCAGAGTTAATCCAAGAGCGGAAGTCTGAATCTAAGTAGATGAAGACACGATAAGTTTAAAAGTATACGTTTTGTTTTTAAGATAGATGATGAGTGAGTAACTTTTCACGACTCAACAACAAGATGGTGTCTGTCAATGGAAAGCACGATGACTTACTTCTCACCAGTGCAGAATAGTCAATGGTAGCGGTAGTGAAGCCAGAGCCCCCTGCACTAGAAGGCCCAACAGGACCGGGTGGTCCGGGCGGACCTCTAGCAATCCCTCTGTCTGGAAACGACAACAAGAGCAATTTGACTGACTGACTGACTAATAGATTAAGTACAGGTATCACTTCCGGGGTTATTGTTTTTCTGTTAGTGCCACCTGTGCTTACCATTCATGATTTTGAAGATGTATGCGGCTATCTCCTCAACACTGTAACTCCTTGAAATTCCTCCTGATATGCCTGGTGGTCCCTGTGGACCTTGTGGCCCTGGTGGTCCTGACAAATATCTCCTCACATCTTCTCCTAGACGGATCACAGCAGAGAGACATCGTTTAGCTTTTAGTTTTACTTTAGTTTAAACTTTTCTGTCACCACAGTGTTTACAGAGACAGTAGAGTGCTGTGGGGAGAATCTATGGATGTGATTCCACTTGGCTCAGACTATGTATTGTACTTACTCTGAAGCATGATGATGAGACCGCTGACTGTCAGGGACCCAGAGCCAGAGCCAGGTGGACCAGGTGGTCCTGGAGGACCCTGAACACCAATACTGAGGCCTAAGCCAGAACCTGAAATTGCAGAACACAGTTATTGGTGACCGCCAATCTGCTATTATTATACCCCATACGTAAACATTCCTCCAACTCTCATTCAGTAACATACACCTTGGGGAGAAACGCAGACTTACGTTGCATATATGCAATGATACGAGTGTAGATGTCATCGATGGAGCCTGAGAAGGTTCCAGGGATTCCTGGAGCCCCAGGTGGACCTGGAGGTCCGGGGTTACTGGACTGTCTGCTTCTACCTGCATAGAACAAATAAAACCTGTTCATACTCTGTTCTGTCCCCCTGACAGCCTGTGAGCGTGAGACCTTGCTTCAGAAGAACTCTTACTTAGATAGTCATTGATGTATTGACGCATCTCACTGGAAGAAGCGAAGGAGCCCGGCAGGCCTGCGGGGCCAGGAGGACCTGCAGGGCCAGGAGGACCTGCGGTGACTGAGACAGAGCCTGAGGGAAAAAATGAGATCGTAAAACCTCTGAAGGAAATCTAAACATTTAAAGCAACTGGGAACTCTTCATGCTTTTACAAGATAAAAACACTTGACTTTGTGTATTATTGTGATCATGATCTTCTCTACCTCTTGAAGAGCCAGAATAACCAGGAGCTCCAGTGTCCCCTTAGAAATAACAAAAGCATTTTTTGTCATGTGACGCACACAGTGTTCCCTCTGAAACACAGACAATAAAATATTGACAGCATTCACAAGTTTCGATGTGCTGGTACCTTTAACTCCTTGTGGTCCAGGACGTCCAGGAAGTCCCGGTTGACCTGCTGGTCCAGGGATCGCGTTTCCTCCCCCGTAAGTCGACACTGTAAGGAAGAAATAAACATACCGTATATCACACGTGTGCATAAGGCCTTTGTAGTGTGGCTCTCATATGTATTTCTAATGTGACTTTGTATGGCCTGTGTTTGATGTTGACCTCTCTCAGAGCTGCCTGGTCTTCCAGGGGTACCGGGCACTCCTGGCTGGCCTGGTTCACCTGAGACACACACATGATGCCACTGTTATTTTTGTGAAGTTATTTACTTTTATTTAAGTGAAACGAAAGAGAGTGATTTGTTAAAGAGATACACCCTAAATAAAGTGAGATAATTACCTTGGTATCCTCTGGGTCCAGGAGAACCTGAAATAACGACGGAGATGTTATAATAAAGTATTACTAAAACTAAACGAGGGTACGTTTCTTTAAATTAAGTATGAGGCTGATCACCTGTTGATCCTGATGATCCAGGTGGTCCTGGTGGTCCGGGTTGTCCACTATATGAAGTTCCTGTAAGAAGAGCAGTGTTGAGAATCTTTCCTGTCAATGCTGATTACGAGTCAAACCAACGTTAAGCACAAGTTCAGATTCATCATCGTACCAGAGCTGGATCCAAAGCCTGAGTCTCCCCTGTCTCCTTTAGGTCCCGGTCTTCCATAACCTTAAAAAAAGATGAAGTTTAATGAAGTTTGATATAAATAATGGATGGGATTCACATAATACCAAAACACCGTATGATCCACCGGCCTCAGGGTCCATATTTGAAACTGTGGATTTAATGAGCTTAAATACTTGCCTGGAGGACCTTCAGGCCCAGGAGGTCCAGGGGGTCCTTGTCTTGAATCTCCTAATGGAAACATGATTAAAACAGTCAGTAACACAATTTGAAGAACATTACAAGAACGCTGTGGTAATTCAGCAATCATTAAAGATGTCGCCTTTGACAATGCTGCAACAAAGGTGTGTTGTATTTACCTGGACGTCCAGGTAGACCCGGTGGGCCGGGTGGGCCAGGTTGTCCTGAACCTCCATTGGCACTGTATTGCCCTAAAGCAGAAATATACTTTGAAGTAATGAACAGTATTCTTGTGTGTAGAGAGGGACAAACATGTAGAAAATGACATTAAAGGAACCCTATGTAACTTCTGCTCTACAGCGCCCACTGTGGCCACAGGTTACAACTACAGGACAATAATAAATGCTAACATGTAGTAACAGCAGCACAAGTAGGGATGTGTACAGTCAATAAACTGACTTTGTACTTTTCTTTATTTGCTAGCATTAGCTACTATGAGCTGCACCGCTGTAAGCTACTGGTCAGACCAGCAAGGCTGTAGCATCACAACAACTGAGTGGAGCAAAGTGGATTTTATTTCTTATGAATTCAACGCTTCATTTGTACGATGAAGATTGTGTGACATAGTTGACGCTTTTATTGTATTGTTTTATTAAAGAAAGCCATCCACAAAAAGAGTACTCACTTGAGCTCGAGCTTAGACTGTCAGATGTTCTCACGGTTATTCCTTGTTCTCCCGTATATCCTCTGTCACCTTTAGCACCTGTGAAAACAAACAATGCAGATTTCATGAGACTCTGCTTTGCCACATATCTGATCTAAAAGACATAATCTGCAGTGACCTACCAGGTTGGCCAGGCAAACCAGCAGGGCCAATGGGACCTGAGGAGGTAAATCACGAAGTATAAGTATGTTACTACTAAGATATGCAGAATGCCAAGGACACCATTATGGCTAATTTCCCAGCTGTTAAGGGTCAGACCTGATAATCCTGGAAGACCCGCAGGACCGGGAGGGCCGGCATGCCCAGGTGGTCCTGGGATGCCGACAGATGTGGAGCCAGCTGGGAAATAAATAAAAGTCAGTTAGATATCCTCAAACTATAATCTAATCAATAATATGTTAAAATATCATTTTTTTTATCACAATCTGTTACCTGCATTGATGATTCTTCCTGGTTCACCCGTTTCACCTAAAACAGACGAGAAACATGGAACATCAGATTCACAGATTAATAGCACACGTGGTATTTTAGACAGCATGCACTTTCTGCAGCAGAAAGCTGAAGTTAACAGTAGATGTACCTTTAGAGCCGGGTCTTCCTGGATTCCCTGGTATCCCTAAAAGCAAGACACAAGTACATTTTTAGTGTTGAGAGCATCACAATCATAGTGCCCCACAACCAATAAGAAATCTTCGATTTGTGATGAATAGATAGTAGAGTCGTACCTGGTGGTCCTTGAAGCCCAGGGGTTCCTAAAG